AAAATGAGGTTCGAAAACCTGGACCATCAGTGGTATCAACAGGCTGATTGGAAATCAAGATTAAAGTCTAACTGTTCTACTAACCAAAAGCATCAGGCATCTCAGGCCAGCTACTAGGAAATGGGCTGGGAAAGGTGAAGGTGCCCCGGGTAAATACAAACAAGAACGAGGACAGAGAGAGGACGAGCCTTGGGAGACAGTTCAATGTACCACGAAGGCTTGACGATGAAAACAGTCTGGTGCTGGAGAAGAAGAGAATGTCCAGAATTAGATCAGAAACACGGGGCTTCAGTGTATGACAGGGCAACAGCTCAAGCAGAGAAAATAATAAATATTCAGTAACAGCAGTGGGAAGATACGGCTAACTGGAGGAAAACCCAGGCCGCTCCCTAACTCTTTCCATCAAAGTCCAAAAGCATCAGATTAAAAAAAAAAAAAAAAAAGATGAAAACGTAAGTCTCTTAGAAAGAAGGGATCTACATGTATCATACTATTAGAGGCGGCCTTCTAACTAGGACCAAAACGCAGAAGCCACAAAGGAAAATCTTAACCAATCTGCCTCATAAAATGATATGCTTCTGAACAACAACAAACCCCCTCAAGTCAAAAGAGAAGCAAGAGCTCAGGGAAAAAATTTAAAATACTCTAGAAAAAGGCGTACTTCCTCACTGTACAAAGAGCCCATAAAAAGAGGAATGACCTAATAGAAAAATGGGCAGTTTAGAGTGAAGAAAATAACAAATGACATATAAAGATGCATATGAAAAAGTGCTTTGCCTTGTATCATAAGACATAGATTGATACAATGTATCATTTATGACCTATTAGATTAACCAAGATTAAAAAGTTAATGGTGATGAAAGGCGTTTGGGAAAGATACAAATACTGTTGCTGAAGCATAAACTGATGCATTCTTCCTGAATTTACTAATGGTGATCAAAATTTTAAATTCACAAGTCCTGTTACTAAGGATATTTAAAGTATTAACACAGGAAACGGGAAGAAACCCTTTTTCATTTCACATGTTTCTGAAATGGCAATTTTAATTGTTTTAAAAACAAAATGTTTTAATTAACTAATGAAGTAGTACTCTACTTCTTTACTCACCCTGCAGGCAAGGCACACACGACTGAAAAAGGGCCACCGGAGAAGCCACAGAAGAGGGAGAGGCCAGGCGACCGAGGCTGAGCTGGCCCCGGCCTGCCTCTGCCTCCCAGGCCCGCCGGGCCCGTGTCCTTCCCAGCCGGCTCCCCGGCCTGTGCGGAGACCCCACACCCACCCGAGCACAAACGTGACTGAGGCCCCCTGGTCTGAAAGCTTCGCTAGCTCCCCCAGAGGACAGCCTCACCCCCTCCGGGGGCACACTCCCCCGAGCTTCCTGGCTCCCCCACTTTTCCAGCTCTCCCCTCCCACCCTGGATTTGTGTTCTTTCCAGCCCCACTAAAGCAAGTGGCCCCGCACGAGCCGATGCTGTTTCTTGGTGCCCCACCCTTACACACGCTCCTCCTGCAGCCCCCTTCCTCCCTCACAATTTAAGGCCCGTCCTGGCGTCACCCCTTAGTGAGCCTTCTGACTCCTGCAGGCGTCGCGAGGTCTCCTCTCCCATCACTGCCCTCACCTCAGCCTGTCTCCTTCCCTCATCAGCCTAGAAACACAAATGCATACTTGGACATATTTTAAAATCGGATCCTAGCCTTTTTTCCACGGTTACCACATCCCTCCTCTTTGTGCCTGCGATTTTGTCCAAGTGATTTTTTTCGGCTCCCCTTTTGCCCTTTCCCTAGGGGTTTTCTTCACATGTCTAGTGACCTTGGTCATCCAGTCATATGAACCAACTCAGTTCATCTCGGGGGGGGGCCCCGTGACTTCTCCCTTGGGATGGTTAGACATGCAAGAGAAGGTGTCTCTGTTTTCTTCAGCTGCAGTGAAGACGACAGGTGGGGGAAGGCAAGGGTGGGGTCTTAGTATCATTCAGCATGTGAACTTCCTCTGAAACCCATTTCCAGGGGGGTTCCCTCCCCTCAAACTCCCACAAAGTGCCTAGCGTCTCCGCAGTCCAGATGCACTCTGGCGCATTCTTTCCTAAGGATAAATCTTGGGAGAGAGCAACCCTCTGTCTCCCAAACTGGAAGAGGGGCAGCTACCTGTCTGCTTATACTTGGGGGAGAGAACTATGGGGACCGCCTTCTTACATACACTCGTAAGTACCCCTCCTGTTCCCAGTCCCCCTTCCCCTCTACTTGCACAGGTCCCTTCCTGAGATTCAGGGGGAGGCCACAGTCAAAAGCAGCTGCTTCTGGCTGTTTCTTGGGGCTGGTAAAGGGTTAGCCCTTTGCTATCTACTTTGTGGCAATTACCTCCTCTCCCGTTTTTTTGGTTTTGTGTTAAAAACAAAACGAAACAAAACAGCCCTGGCCAGGTGGCTTGGTTGGTGGGAGTGGCATCCCACAGACCAAAAGGTCAAGGGTCAATCCCTGGTCTGCGCACAGTCCTAGGCTGCAGGTTCAACCCCTGGCTGAGGCGCATACAGGAGGCAACCAATCAATGTTTCTCTCTCACATCGCTTCTCTCTCACATCGATATTTCTCTCTCTCTCTCTACCCCTCCTTCCTCCCTCTCTAAAAATCAATAAACGTATCCTCAGGTGAGGATTAAAAAATAAAAAGTACAGCTTTTCATTGTCCTTTTAGAGTAAACACACACATATAACCAACCCATTGTCTTCACCAGACTGCTCTTGAGTACACCTCATGACAACCTCATGATTTAAGTATTGTTAGACGCACTTCACAAAAGAGGCTCAGAGAAGCTGTTTAACCAAGGTCACCTAGTCCGTATATTATCAAGTTAGAGTTCAAGTCCATTGTTTGAGGTCCATTATTATTATTATTAGTCACATATTCGAGATTCTAAAAAAAATTAAGGCCTAGAAAGACCACGTGTTCACCAGGAGTACAAGGCAAGCATGTGTCCAATCTGTGTTTTCATTTCTCTGTATTTTTGTTAAAACCAGTACACTTGCGATCCAGCACTGCCCTGGGACTGCAGGGCCTGCACTTGCACTTGCGTGTGCGCTCTCACGGCGGCCAGAGGTGCTACTTGGTGATCAGAGGCGCGTGAGAACAGAACAGGGTGTGCCTCCCCCTCTGAACAGTACGGTCACACCGAGTAAAGCCGGACGAAACCAGGGCGCAGTGTGAGAACATGGCTTTACAGCTGCCTGCAAAGCGGAGGAAGCGTCAGGCCGCCCCACATCAAGTGACTCCAATCTGGCTAAACTCAGAACAAGCTGCGCCAGGACAGCCAACACTCGATGCTGTGAGGAGCAACTCCATTTCAGCCAAATATCCCAGGAGAAACAAATGTTCCCTTGAGTGTCGCTGCAAGAGTGAATTTGTTTTAACTTACTTTGTTTTCGTTTTTAATGGTTGAGTAAGAGTTGTAAGCTGAGCAACTTAGATCTAGTGCCATGTGGATTCAAGTAACAGGACTAAAAATAGCTTGGGCAAACCCGGGATCGAGGGGCTTTGGCTGCATTTTTAGTTTCCTTTTCCCTGTAGGCAGGGCCCGTTTTAAAGCTCAGGTAGCCTGCAGACTGGCCCAAGGACGGCAGCCCCTGCTCCGAGGCTGTGAGAACGGGCCTGCAGCAGGGATCGACCGGGGCAGCTTCGCGTCTGCGAGCTCCCGCGCCTCCTGGGCTAGGGGTCCCTCCCGGGCGTGTCTTCTCCCCCCTCACTCTTGAGTGCCCCAGCGGGTGAGCAACGTGGGGGTGGAAGCGGCCCTTTTTACTAGGCACGCCCCACAGCATGCAGCAATGTTGGATCTGCCAGAAAAAGAAAGTGCAGTGAGCACTGCTCCGCTGTCACGGGTGAGAGCCTGGGGCTCAGAGCTGGGCTCGCCCCAGGTCCCCAGGATGGAGCCGGGCCCAAGGAGCACAGGGCTGGCTCTGTTGAGCACACCTGGGCGGCTGTCCCCAGGTCGGCCATTCACGGCTCTGAGCGTCTGCTGGACTCAGGGGCCTGTTGATGGGAGAGACCTGGTTCTTCTTGCTGACGCATGTAAAGGATTACATATCAGCAAATAAGAATGTGCAATCAGTTTATTAGCGGTCAATTCCTATGGAAGAGAACGGGCCCAGCTGAGATAGGGTGGGGGGACGGTGAAAGACACAGGTTCAGGGCTAAGGGGGCAGCAAAAGGAAGGACTGCCGGAGGCCAGGGCGGCACGCCCCGGGCGGCCGGCGCCAGGAGAGCAACTCCTTCGTTCTGGACTTACAGAGTTGCCGGGATGGGAGTAAAAATGTTACATATTGATTAACAGGTGAGTGTGGTGCCAGCTTTCCTGGGGGGGAGTGACTACCCAGACTCAGGTGTGTGTAGGGGTCATTAGCCTGAATCCGCATCTTGCTCCTGCCTCCACTTGTTCATCTTGTTGTAAAACAGGTTGGTGACAGGAGGCAGTTAATTACAGATGGGGCAGTTCCCTGAAGTTATTTATGGGCTGCTTCTTTGGGCCCTGGGGTCCCTCTCCCGCCTTTCAGGCCTTGGGATGGAAGCGCAGTTCCAAGCGTTCTTGCCCAGGCATGGGAACGCTACAAAGACTTTCAAGGACTTCCCTCCCCCGGGGGCAACATAGGATTTCCCGTGATGCTGGGACGCCCGGCAATACTACCGGACCAGGCTCGGGACTGCTGAGCTAGCAGGTGAGACAGGTCTCCCTCCCCCGTCCCTGCCTTGGTTTACTATTCATTCCACCTAAGGGATAAAAGGCGTTTCCTGGCAACCAGGATGCTAGACTCCGTCAGTAACAGCCCCGCAGTCTCAGAGTTCTTCCTACGCTGCCTCCTGCCCCAGACCCACCCAGCGGGGCCTGACCAGGGCCTCCCCCGGCCAGCTTCGCCCTTTAAGAAGGGGGGCGGCCCAGCGCGCCTAGGCCCCTGCCGCTCTGAAACGGGAGGAGAAGGAGGGCGTGCTGTGGCCGGTCCTCCCCGCGGCCCTTACCATTTGATGATGTTGTGAACCAGAGGTAAGAAGGAATAGCTCTCCTCCTTCATGGCCGCGGGGGACGGCGGCCTTGTCGCCGGAGACGGCTGCTGCGGCGCGGCGACCGGCGGCGGCGGCTGAGGCTTCGTCTCGGGCAGCGGCGGCTCGGCCGGCGGCGGTAACGCGTCCTCGGCTTGTCGCCCGGCGGCTAACCCGGCAGAGGCCATAGTGCTCGGGACTCTACGAGTCAGTCAGTCGCTCGGTCAGTTCGGAAGCAGGAGCTGCGCCGGCGGCCGCCGAGTGTCGCGGGACCCAGTACGTCACTTCCGCACGCCCGCGGGGGCGGGACCTGGAGGAGGGTGTTCAGCGTGCGCGCTAGGCGCGGGGCGGGGCGGGGCGGGGCGGGGCGGGGCGGGGCGGGCAGCTGTTACTAGGCAACAGGCGGTTGGAGGGTGTAGGGTACCCTGAATTTGGTTGTGAAGATAGGTAAATTACCAGTTAGTCAAGAATAGGAGATTCATTTCATAAAAACATGTTATTCTTATTCACTTGATGAAGAGGATCCAACAGCAGCTCACAGAGAAAGCCTGGAGTTAAATAAGAGTCAGCATGGCCCAGCCATCAAGGCGGCCTTCGGAAGAAGCCCTGGGCTTCCGAGCGCTGAGAACTCAGGGATGAAGGACCCGCCGCCCTGCACCGCGCAGAGGCCTCCAGTACAGGGAGCAGCCCCAGGGCGGGACCTATGCTAGACCTAGGGACGCAGAGACCTCGAGATTGCTCCCTCTACCCCAGTTCCGCAAGGCTGGGTGGAGAAGAACTAATAACTCAACACTTAATATGCATCTTCTGAATGCAGCGCTGGACGTGGCGGGAGGCGTGGGAAGGCTGTCCCAATACAAAGCAGAAGAGATTGGTGTCAGGAATATCATATCCGGGGGAAAAAGTCAACGTCTCCATATTTGTGCGTCAGTTTCTTAAGCCCCTAGGCCCCAGTGTCTTCTCTAAAATCTACTTTAGTTCAGGGTCATGGCAGAGCCTAAACTGCTTTCTTCAGATACATGGTTGACCTCCAAAAGTCTGGATTAAGGACACCCTCAAATCAGAGGCCAAAGTGGGGGACTTCTGGGGGGTCTGTAGTTATGTTCCTCAAAACAAGTATAATTTCTGGGCAATGGGGACAGCGATTGTAAGCTTAGTGAGTGAGTGGAAGAAGACAGGAGCTAGAACAGCGGCGTCCTCACTCGGGCTACCCTTCACGGCCTTACAGGGAGGCCAGGAAGTCCGCAGTCCCGTCGCGAGAGGGGCAGTCCCGCTCCAGAGCAAGGGGCGGTCCCCAGGAAAGCGCGCCACAGCAGCCGAACCAGGATTGGTCTCCGGAGGCCGAGGCTGGGAAGCCGGCTGCGGAAGGGGACAGGGGCGCCGGCGGTGGGCCGCTGGGCTCTCTAGCAATGCGCCTCAGCTAGTGCTCTTCAGCGGGAGCCAGCGGGATGGGGGACCCAGCGGGAGGGCGGATGAGGCCAGAAGGCTGCAGGGTTTCTCCCTGAAAGCCGGAGACCGCTCCAGCGAAGGGAAGAGTTCAAGCGTCCTGGCCGAGAGCGGAGCAGAAGGTCCTGTTTGTATAGAACCAGGCGCGTGTGAAGAGACTGTGCACCCTCGGAGTTACGGGGGGGGGGGGGGGGGGGCAATGTTGGCCTAATAGTAATAACAATAATAGTAATTACCACAACTACCATGGAATAAAAGAATAAAAGTAGGTGCAAGGGGCAGAGTCACAATCTTTATCTCATGTAATCCACAGAAGAGCTCTAGAAGGTAGGTATTAGTTTCTCCATTTTGTAGGGGAGGAAACCAAGGCTTCCGATGGTTACTATGCCGGTCCCAGAGCCACACAGCTCGCCTCACACCCAGCTTATGGTCTAAACCAACGCTGGGAGGCCTCGGGTCCGTACCAGTTCTGTGATTTTGTGATTTGAAATGTAAAAGTAAAATTTTTCTTCAGAGTTTGAAAAGCAACCTAACATTCATCAGTAATATCCCCATGGCGCCCTGGCTGGGGGGCTTGGTCAGCTGTGTCACCAGAGGCAGGTCAGGCGCCTGCCGCGGTGACAGCCAGCACTCCGAGGCAGATGCTGATGGAAAGGAAAGCAGTTTATTTTGCAGGTGCCGACCATCTGAACGATGGGACTCGGTGCAGGCAGAGGTTTCTATAAGGAGGGAGAGGGGAACAGAACAAAGAGATCAGGGGAGGGGCCTGAAAAGTTCTCTACGTGCAGATGAGCACAGTCCGTTCCAATAGAGCAAGCGACGGTCCCGTGAGTGTTGTCCTGGCTTCACACCATCCTGGCTTCATGTCATCCTGGCTCCACAGCTGAAGGTCAACAAATCTCCCAGAGCTGGGATGGCTGAAGGGCAGTCTTTATCTTTGGCAGTTAGTTCCTAGGATTCTTATACAAATGTGCTGCTCATCTACAAGCTACATATTATTGAGCCAGCACTTCACAGAAACAATGCCTGAGGAATGGTGGGGTGGGTTAGAATTCCCCACTGTTACGCTTTTCCACAGTTACAGTTGGAGTGTCATCCCGTCCACCAAAAGGCTGAGGGATCGGTTCCCGGTCAGGGCACATGCCTAGGTTGCGGGCTCAGTCCTCAGTCGGGGGGCGTACGGGAGACATCTGATGGGTGTTTCACTCTCACGTTGATGTTTCTCTCCCTTTCTCTCTGTTTCTCTCTCAAATCAATAAAAACATATCTTTGGGTGAGGATTAAAAAAAAACAGTAAAAGAATAATATCCCCATGGCAATCGCACGTCATCTTTTCCCTTCCAGGGTGTTTTATGACTTAATGACAAGCCTCAGTTTTATTATTGGCAGAATGATGAGGGCATCTCTTTTTTAGAAAAAGAAAAAATACTTTAGGTATAAATAGACATGGCTAAAGAAAACAATTTGAAAACATAAGAGGCATGCATGAGAGTATGTTGCATTGACAATTTGCCCTAAAAATAGTTAATTAGTGGCAAAGAGTAAAGCTGATTTCCTAACATTGTAAGCAGGTGCCAAACCCCACCCCCCCCTTGCTGGTTTCATTAAAGCTGAAATTGCCACAGCAAATGCGTGTCTGTTCATAACTGTTCTATTAAAAGTCCAAAAAAGCAGATGTTCTATTGATATGTAAGAACTGTACCATGCTAGAAACGTCATCAAATTACACTGTTTGCCATTGCTTTCTTAGGCACATTTGCACTGTTTCTCACAGGGCCTTTCCAGCCGAGTTGGCAGTGACAGGGTCAGGCCGCGGAGCCGGACCCCTGCCTGCCCCCCAGTGAGCCGGCTGAAAGTGGCGTGGCTTCGCGCCCCTCATTTTGTGCGGCTGTGGCACCTCCCAAGGACTGGACAGGTTCTTACATATAAGCCACTTAGAAAAGTATCAGTGAACAGTAAATAGTCCTTACTGCTCAAATTAAAGGCTTACTCCTTCACTGATTAACAAAGCCCAGACTGACAGCCATTAAGAGGGAGGATCTAGATCAGAGCTTTGTAACAGAAAGAAAAAGCAAGCCATAAGTCAAGCCACACGTACCGTTCTCAATTTTCTAGTAGCAACATAAACACACACACACACACACACACACACACACACGAAACTGGTGAAACTGATTTCGATATATTTTATATAATCCACTATAACCAAAATACTATCATTCTAACATGTAATCAATATAAAAAATTGTTCAAGGTGTTTTACTGTTTTTCATGCTGTTTAGAAATCCAGCAGTACTTTACACATATAGCACATATCAATTCAAATAGCCACAGGTCTGGTGCTCAGTAGCCAAACGTGGCCAGCTGCTGCAAGGCTGGATGGTGCAGTCTGAGAGATCAGTATGTGTCAACATAGAGCTCAGTCATAGTGAAGAGAGGAAAAAAGCAAGTTGCACAAAGAAAATAGCGTATATTGCTACTCATGGACATGTTTGGAACATGAAAAATAGCAGTATCTATCATCCAGAGATACAAGATACATATGTAACAATATCTTTAAAAGGAAATGAAGGGTACACCTCACTGCAGTGTCAGTGTCTGATGGGGAGCTTGTCATTGCTGTGGCATCCATTCCAAAGACACTATCTCGAGTAAACGGACTGCCCACTATACACCTAGAGAACCCTCTGAAGTCCCGCTTTTAGAAAGCCCTGGGTAACTAGGTTAACAGTTTGACCACTTGCTCTCCTTTCTTGTGCTTTAATTCCTGCTCTTATGTTTTAAATTCAACAAAAAGAGAGCGAACCCCTGAAAAATCTAGACACCCCACTCTCCACCCCAATAAAGGTAGATCCCAGGTCTTTCTCTTCTCTTTCTCTTTTCTTTCTCTCCCTGTGACCCTCGAAGTGCCTTGTACGCCCCAGGACTCATAATAAACCTTGTTTTTGCAAAGTTCCCTGATGGCTAAGTTGTGTCTTGCAACTGATGTTACCAGGATGCCAATATTTGAGTCTATCTGCCTGTGCACGCTGGCTCAAGAGAAATGCATACGCAAGACTTGGCAGCATAGAAATAAGGTTTATCGGAGAATTGGCCAATACCACGTATGGGGAACTAATGCTCTAAAGACCTGACTCCTCGAGGGTGTGTAGGTTATAGGTTTTATAGGGCAAAATTCCAGGACACTGTGGGTGTGGGGGTCCAGGGATCACACTAGGAGCTGATTGGTCAGATGTGAGGGAAGGGTAATTGCTCATTTCTTAAGCTCTGAGGTCTGCCCTGTGTCCTCCCGTCTGGTCTGAAGGAAAAGTAGCCAGGGAGTCAGTCCAGGGGGCTCAGGGGTTGAAACATAACTTAGGTCAAGATACCGTCTTTAGCCTGTCAGCTATTGTCTTCTCTGTCTCGGGGGTGGCTGATTATCGGGGAAAGAATAGACCTATGAGGGGGATACATATAGAAAGAGATGATTTCTGGAGCTGGAATTTAAAACTAAATTTAATCAACATCATAAGGACTCTTGGGTTCGAGAACCACAAGCGCGGGCCCAGCACGTTGGTTCTAGGGCGGCTGCCACGGGTGGCAGGGGCCCGGGCGAGCGTCCCAGGTGGGCTGAGACAGATGCCAAAGACGCGAATTCACGGGGCAGGGGTGGGAGTAGAGCAGGCACTGCGGCTGTCCCTGTAGTGGTACATTTTTAATATGTGTTTTTCTGTAAGTGGACTTGAAGCAAATGGAAAAAGTATGAACAGTTGCCAAATGTGGAAGGGGACACATGGGAGCTTGGTATGTTAGGGTCCAGGCTCTGCTCCTTTCTGGCTC